GCCCAGCTTGGCAGTTTCGAGAGGTCAGGTTGGTCGGGGCCCCCTCACAACGTCACAACCTCTGAAAGTGAGCCCCTCGAAACAAGAGAGAGTGATTCTCGAGTTCTTTTCTCGACCTGGCTGTTGAGCGCAGGAGCTCCTGGCGCGGCGCCTGAGGCCGGCCTTGGCCTTGAGCTGCAGGAGCGTCCAGATGGATTCAGAGACATGGAGTTAGAGGAGTGGTTGGTTCCCACTTGTTCCCGGTATCCAGCCTTACCCACGCAATCACCCCGCTGCCGACTCCGACCGTCCACAATTATATTGCCAGCTGCATGCTCCGCATGAGGAGGGTTGCCTGGAGCGCCTGGCGCGGCAGAGTCGTGGCAGGACGCTTTGCAGCGGACAAAGGGTTGCAGCTGGCATGGGGGATGAAGCGCCAGCAGCTGAAGCGTGGCTGGGCTGCAAACTACGTCTCATCGGATGGGACGCCGAGCTTTGCCCCAACCCAAAGCCTGGATTTGCTTGATTTGGTCCAGCCTGGGCCATGCCAGGCCGTGCCGTGATGGCCATGGTGCAAGAACTGCAGCGCTCAAAGGGTGCGTGGCCGCCTGGTGGCAAGACATTCGAAGCAGGCCTTGAAGAAGGATTGCTTGAGTTGCAACATCTTTCTCAAGCATGTCGGGACGCCACCGGGGTGCTCAGATGACAGTGCGGCAAAGTCAGGCTTGGTGTTTGCACTTGGCTCGCCGGTCCACAACATTGGAGAAACCTCATTGCCTCTGAAACTCAGCTGTCCAAAGCCGACTTTTCGATCTTTTCGGCTTTGGCCCATGATTAGCCATGCTTTGGCCACCTGGCGCTGTGAAGTCAGGCTCCTCGCGCACTTGGTGCGGGCGAGCAGCGGACGTCGGTGCCTGCAGCACTGGTGCTGTCACTTGCACCACTGCAAGAGGTGGCGGCAGATGAGACTCGGCCATCTCGTGGGCAGCGCTGGAAGCTTTTGTCAAAGAACTCTGCTCCTTAGTTGGTAAAGGCTATAGTGAGGGCCTGTACGGTACGAACTGTTTTCAGTGAGGTTGGCAGAACGCCACACCCCCCAGAGATGCTGAGCGCTGCCATTCCTTTTTTGAAAAATCGGGGAACCCGCAAGACGGGTCAGCTGCCTTCAGGTTTCCCATGGCCCCGCCCTGATCTTTCGGATTTGCCCACCCACCTTTGCTGCATTGCGTGACAGCTCCGATGTGGGCAGATCATGGCCCTGTTTTCCAATTTTCCCCGGTTGGCTTCCAAGAAAAGGAAAGACAAAAGGGACGGCCTTTGTTTCAGAAGCTTCTTGCCCGAAGCTTCTTGCCCGAAGCCACTCGGCCTGTCGGCCTCATTCGGTTCTGGATTTCCTTGCTGCCCGGGAAGGGAGCCCAGCTATTGTGACCTTGATAGCTGCAGCAAGTTGCAGGCCTTTGCAAACGCACGCGCTTCCAAAAGGATGGCGACCTTCCAAAAGGGCTTTGTGCAGTTCTCTTTTCTCGGTGGGAGGCTTGTCAACGCTTGCTCACATTGTCCTGTTGATGACTTAATTTAGCTTCAAAGTACCCTACCCCATTCTAATTGTTTGGGTTTGGACCCTATTTCGTCTGTTTTCGGTTTTGAACACCCAGCTTCCCAGGGCAGCTCGGGCGCGCCGCGCGGCCACCCACGCCCTCCGGTGCCTCATGGCGGCTTGGGCCACGCTAGTGGCCAGGAGGCGGAGGACCCTGTGGGCGGAGACCAAAGTCCGCCAGGGCCCCGCACATGGAGAACGTGTGGAGCACGTGGAGCTCTCGCCTCTCAGGTCGGATGATGCGTTCTCGCTTGTCCCACAAAGCGCTGCGGCGCTGGCTGCTCGCATTTGCACGCGAGGCGCGGCAATGCTCATTTAGGTAAAGCAACCGGATGTCTTCTCTTGACAGTCTTGCCCAGGTGCTGGTGGCGCTGTCGCCGTCGCAGCCTGGCCAAGCACAGGAGGAGGTCGGCGGTCTTGTGTTGCAGCATGGACCTGCAGGGGTGTTGCCACGTCCTTGCTGGCGCGCAGGCAAGATGCTTTCACCTGGAACTGGCCGCGGCAGAGCGGAATTTGTAGCTCGGCTCGCGTTTGGCTTTGTGGCGTGTTTGGGTCTCATAGGGGTTGCGAGCAGCGAAGGCGGCGCGGCTCGGTGCTTGCAATCTGCAGTCTGCTCAGGACTTGCCTCAAGCAGCAAGACACCATTCTGCAGGATGCGTCTTGCCAGCAAGTTCGTCGATCCCTGTCGGTCAAACATGTGAGAGTGCATGGTGCGAGGGGGAACTGCATCGCACCTGAGCACAAAGTGTGTTCCCGACGGCCGCAGTAGGCGTTCCTGACGTACTCATGTTTGCAGCCGCGCTTCGCCTCAGGGCCTCTACAATACCCGCCGCCAGCCGCTCCCATCCGCACTTCGCTTGTTAGGAGCCCCTCTCGCTGCGGGCCTCCCTGTCCGAAGCGGAGCAGCAAGCGCAGGCGGCCGCCGGCGAGTGCCAGCGAGCGCGCGGCGAGTTCGAGGCTCGGGGGATCTCCTGACGAATGGTGCTATCCCATGTGCAGGCTTATGTGCCCCTTTACGTCCAATATGGGACGCACCAGTTCTCTTCACTATCAGCATTTGTGTCCAAGTTTTTCTTGACATGCTCGCTGCAAGGCTCCAGAGATCTTCCGCCCATACGTCCCCCTTTTTCCACTACTAGCAGTGGACGAACAGTTTTGGGACGCCCGCCCGCTAAAGTTGTCCTTAGGTGCTCGAACTAAGTTGGTCCATTGCCACAACATGTGGTTGGGGTGTGATGTCAGCGGCCCGTGTCTCCGAATGGGCGCCAACATGCAAGCTCCCAGTGCCCGGTGACAAGGTGACTTTCCTCTTTAAAGATGTCAAAGCCGAGGGCCCCTTGGGCTTGGGCATGCGTCGCTTCACGCACCGGTCGCATGCGTCAGCTCCCAGACTGGGAGGCGTGTGCCGAGTCCCTGAACCAGTCCGAGTGCCAGGAGGTGGAGCAGGAACTCTGCAAGGCGGTTCGGCGAATGGGTCGAATGACCCCAGAAAGATCCAACCTTGCGGATTAAGAGGTGTTTCCCGCAAAAGTGAAGGATCTGGGGACACCTGTTAAATCAAGCCGGGTCCTGGTTAAGCATTTCTGCTGGTATTAAAGGGAAACCCCCAAGAAAACACACACCATCCACCTGCAGGGTCACCAATTTGAGACACCCATATTGAATCCATGCGCATGAGTCTTCCGGGGCAACGCAGGAATTATGTTCAAGCCATTTGCATTTCCAGAGGTTTGGAGACACCATTGCGCTGCTTTAGGTCTATGACAACCCATTAGCGCGTTTTGCTGTTTCAGGTTGGCCAATCCCAGAAAAGGAAGGATCGCCCTGTTCGCAAGCCCCTTGCGTCACAGGCCCTGCGGGTGAATGCGGCCCTGGCCCGGGAGCTGCACAGCGCCTCCCGGGCCGCGGCAGGCGCCGGGGCGAGAGTGCGGCTGCTGGAGGAGCCGCTCGACTGGAAAAGCGCTGGGTGCGAATGTGGGCGAACTTGGTTGGAACAACCACGTTGCACTCCCTGAGCAGGCAATTTTCGTGGCAAACAGACGAATTGAACTTTATTCTGGCCACTCCACTCAGAAGTGAATGGCAATGTCTACCACAGATTGTAGTTGGGGGTTCCGCCGGCGAACATGGAACAACGGGCCGCTAGGAAATCTGTAGACTGTTGACGTACAAAGCAGCCATTGGCATGGCTCACTGCCTCAGTTGGTAAAAAGAGGGCGCACCAATAGTCCGCCATACCCACGCTCTCACGGTGTGCAGTGTTTTTGGCCTACTAAGTGCAACATCTCCGGAGACGGTCTCGCAAAGAAGAACGGGTGAGCACCCCCTTATGATAGCCAGAGGTTGATAATCCTGGGTTTCCATTCCCACCTTGGATCGATTTCTTCAGGTCCTCTGTGGCTTTGCGGAAGCAGCTGGGCTCGGCTGAGGAGCAGTGCCTCAGCAGTTTACTGTATGCGGACGGGGCCACGGTGACTTCGCCAAGACTCTGGAGCAGCTGTGTTTGACCCCACAGGGCGCGAACGCGCTACCCTCTCAGCAATGCACCGCCACTTTTAGAAGGGCATTGTTGCCTCCACTCCTCTTGTATTTCACGACTAAGCCATATGGAATTGTGCTTGGACCCACAGGCCCTGGCCTGCAAGCCTACAAGGTACGTGGCGGCCCTGGCCACCCTTTGTGCCGAAGCGCTGCGGGTCCGGGAGCAGCCTCAGGCAGCGAGCGTTCTGCCGGGCCCTGGCAATTTGTATTGTGAACGGCGAAGCCAGGTGTTGCCTTGCACTCGCTCTTGGTAGGTTGCTATAGATTGACCACAATGACGGCTTTCCCTTGCGGGTCTAACTTCTGTTTGTGAGAGACGGCGGTGTGACGAGAACATACAGGACCGATTCGCCGTGGCGTGTGCGTGCCCGCTGCGCGAGTCCATGAAGAAGCGTTCAGCATGTCGAAATATGGTCATCCGCAGTATGCCTTTGCAAAGCCTGCGACCTTTCTTCAAAGACATGAGGAACTAGAGTCTTACAGGCATGTTGTTTCAAGGTCAGGCAATTTGAAAGTCAAGTCTGCAAATGTTTGAATCCAAGCTGAACTAAACCATATGCCAATCACGTGGCTTGTGTGCCTATGCTTGCACCCGCCCTCGCATAGCAGGTTGAAAACTCCCAGCTGAGTGGGAGCTGGGAGCGCTGGGTCGAGCCGATTGCTGTCACCAACAGCGTGGACATGTCTGGGCTGCTGCCGCCCAACGCGTTGCAGCAGGACACTGTTAACGAATTCGCCTCGCCGGCGAAAAAGGCCTGAGAGGAAGAGAGGGCTTCTGATCCGGCATCATGGACTGTTGCCCTTGTGAACTGGAATCCGTCGTGCATCTGGAATGACAAAAATCAAGAGCCACACACATGCAACAAGATGTGCGCAGCCCCAGGTCACTGTGCATCGAAGCGGGGCGACACAGCGCTGGAGGGTGGCCCTTGCGTGGCTTTAGCGTTTTGTTCATTACCCCCTACTCCACAAAATGACCCAAACTCGGCAGCAAAGGGACCCCGGCATTAGCCCTTTTGATTCTTGCGACAAGCAGGCAATTGACAATAGTGCATGGGCAGCTTTGCCCAGCTCGCCTGCCTTGTCACTCTCGCCCTGCCAGTCGCCTGAAGTTGCTATGAAGATTGGCGATGCCATTGCAGCAGCCCCGCGCCCAGAGGGATCAGTATGTCAGTTTCGCCAGATTGCCAGCAGACGGTGGGGGCACACCCACCCTTTCAGCATCTTCCATGACTGCAAACCCGTGCTTTTTCAGCAAGCCCGCTGCAGCAGGTTGTCAAAGCTAGTTGAATCAATGAGCTTACTTTTCGCTGCGCGAGGGGCTTGCTCTCTCGTGAGCCTTTGTCAGCTTCACCGCCAGACTGGTAGCATTGCATTGTCGCCGACCTGCACCGCGGGGCCGCAGGCCCGCGTCGGCCAAGCAAGCGTTCAAAGGGGTTGTTGAGCGGAGCGGCTGACTCATCTATTATACGCTGCCGCCTTGCCCATCTTGGCTCCAGACGCCTGTCAGTGGCGCCATCAACTGACCCAAGTTTGACCATTTCAGCTTGCCAGGTAGCTTTCTCCATCAGCAGGTGCTGCAGCCCAATGCAGCCTGTTGTGCGTCGGTGTTTAACCGAAAGCAGCCTCTATCATTTTTCTCAAATTATTGAGTGGGTAAACGCATGGACCCTTCTCCATGCAGCCATGCTGACATCGAACCGTCTGGCAGTTCTCCAAGATGTCGGCGCAGTCCTCAGTCAGGATTTGGGGAGTACCAGCATAAGCACCAAGTTGAGCTCTCCCAGATCCGATGGCCAGCAGTGGGAGGGGGGCGCCAGAATTTACAATCTCCCTGTTACAAAGAAACGGGTGGGTTGCGCTCACGCGTGAAAGGCAATATGGCCATCGTCCGGGAGGCTATCCCGGTGCCGGGACCCGGGGAGGTTTTGGTACGCGTCACCCACGCGGGCCTGTGCGGGTCAGATTTGCGGCTCAGCAAAGCTCGGGAGAGTGGCTGGGATTTTTGAGGTCTGCTGCGCCATGACCTTGAATGCCGTTCCCTGAAGAGGGTGCATGAGTGCGTGAGCTGTCTCACTGTGCCACTGAGTGATCAACTCTTGAACTTCAAGGATTCTCGGTTGCCATGGCACACGTGACGACAAAGCTTTCTCTAGGAACAGGTTGAGCATGGGCTTGGCTTGGGGCTCCTTTCTGAGAACACCACGCTGAGACGCTGAGGCATTACTTTCGGCACGGTGGCCTTGGGACCTTCAAGGTGGACCTGCCGATGTACATGGGCCATGAACCAGATGCCCAGCCGCACCGGACCGGGGGCTGTCTTGTGTCATCCTGGTTCCATTCTGCCTTGGGCCCCTAGCCAGCTTCGGCTGCACAGCTGCCTGAGGCGGGGATCATAGCGGATGCCAATGGCTGTGAGGGATGGCAGCTGGGCGACCGCGTGGCTGTGGTTCCCAACTGCCCCTGCCTCAGCTCCAGGATGGCGATGCAAGGCGGGCGATGTGGGGATTGGGCTGGAGATGGTTTGGGGCCGGGGCCCGTCGGTAGTTGCCCATCAAAGTCAAAGTGGATGCAATGGATGCAAACATTTGTTCTTGGGAATGCGTAAAAACAGAACAACTTGTAGAACGCATGGTGGCTCCAGTGGCACATGGATAGTGCCTGCTAGGCAAGCAGCACCTTTGCGAGCAGGGCACCTTTATGGGAGCTGGAGGGGTCAAGGGGTGCTTTGCCGACTTCGTGACTGGACTGCAAGGCGGATCGGCATTGTTTTGCGCTCTGTCATGCGTGGGTTGGGGAACCCCAGCCTGGTTTTCCGTGTGAGGTTTGTGTCAGCACGCTCCAATTGGTCCGGGTGCCTGCGCACGTCCCCTTGGACCTTGCCATGATGACAGAGCCCTTGTCGGTTGCTTTGCATACGCTGCTTGCTGGCAAGAGTTTTGGCTCCGCCTTCGCTGCGCGTAGGGGGAGATGTTTGAGCTCTTGCGAGGTTAAAGCTCGCGCAAGCCTCCATATTCAACATCCTGGATGGGGACGTGGCCATTATGGGTGCGGGCGCCATTGGCTTGTGCCACCTTCTGCTGCTGAAGCACATGGGCGCCAGGCATGTCCATATGATAGAGCCGCTGGAGGAGAGACGCTCGCTGCAAATGCGGGGCGACGGGTTCCTGGACAAGGGGCAAATGGAAAGTTTCAAGTTAGCGCCTTGGGAAAGGACAACTGTGGTTCGGGTCACGGCTAGTCTGCCCTTGGGCAAAGAACTCTTTCGCCCTTCAAGGCCCGCTAGGTCTTGCTGCTCACCTTCGCTCCAGACAGAGAGAGAGAGAGAGAGCGGGAGAGAGAGAGAGAGAGAGAGAGAGAAAGAGAGAGAGAGAGAGAGAGAACGAGACACACACACACACAACCATAATCGTAGAAACAAAACACCCATGTGCACATGCTCCCCCTCAAAAAAGGGAGAGAGAGGAAGAGAGACAACGCAACTCAAAGAGAGAAGCACATCAGCACAACACCCATGTGATGCCCCCCCTTCCCCCCACCCTTTTCGTGCTGCTGCAGGGCGTGAGCTGGCCAAGCGGTTGGGCGCCGCCAGCGCGGTGGGCCACCCCGGCCGCGGCGCGGAGCGCCCGGGGGGGCGGAAGGGCTGCGAGCTGGTGCTGGACTGTGCCGGCACGGAGCAGCCGCTTGGGCGCCGCATAAGGATTGAGCCGCCGGCTGGGGGCTTTCTGCCGTTTGCAGTGTTGTCTTTGGCTGTGGCGCCCTAAGGAGCTTCAATATTGCTTTGCAGGCGTGGGCGGATTGGGGAGGATGTCCAGCTTCTGGGGCTTTGTCAGGTATCACGCTGGCCTTGATTCTCGTTGCGGTATGCAGATCCCGGATTCAGTTTTCAGAAGGAACCCAAAGGGGGCCTGATCTCAAAATGAGATTCCTTCAGGGTGTTTTTTTCTTCTTCTTCTTCTTCTTCTTCTTCTTCTCCATTCTCTAGTTCATTTTAGGCTTGCTACTTGGCATGCCTGTTCGCACAGGTGGCCGGCCTGGCAGCGCAGGTGGTCCTGGTGGGGATCCCAGAGGTGGACTTCCTGAAGTACAACCCCCATGTGGCCCGCACCAAGGACAGAAAGAAACTCGAGAAGCTTCACTGTGCGTGTGTGTCATGTGATGTGATGGGTAGCCTAGCGGAATGCGATATGATCTTGGTGTGTATGTCCTTTTCCCTAAGCTTTCTTAAGAGCCTCACCCGGGTACCTAGGAGGCCGTGCAGAGCCTGGTGGGGTGTACCTTGTACCTACACTGTTTCGGAAAGGCCATTATTTTGGTAGTGGTCTAAAATTCCGTCATGCACTGTGAGGGTTCAGAAGGCCGCCGAATCATGGCTAAGCTTGCCTGTTCTTAGTAGGGGACATGGGAATGACCCCACAAGGATCCAATTTGCAGTGGGAAGGAATTCATTCCCAAGTAAACCATGAACTCAGCCACTTCTAGGCATCCTCATGTTTGCTTTCCTTTTCCAGGGCTCCCACCCCAAGGGCAACTTCCAGGGAGGGCTCCCTTCAAATCAAGCTTCAGTGCCCCAATTGAGCCTCCGCCTTCTAGGAGCTGACGCTGCTCAACGCGCGGAGGGCGAACCAGACGCTGGCGCCGTGCCTGGACCTCCTCGCGCGCTCGGAGGCGCTCAGGGAGAAATGCCTCTGCCTGGTGACCCACCACATGCCGCTGGCGCCGCTCGGCTCGGTGTGTCACTAATTGAGTACCATACCCAGGTGCCACAAGCCGGTTCTCGCCCAAAGAGTGCTTGACACTGGGATACCCAAATTCGTCAGAATCCTCGTGGGTTAGATGTGCCGAGGGTGCTTTTCAATGTCCACTCCGGATTCAGAAGCCCGTCCGATGTTTTCAGGGGCTTCTCCTTGAATCGTGCATTGAAGGGGGGTTGCCGTTGCGGTCCTCCAAACCAACCTGAAGTGGACAGTCAGCGTGATTTATTGCAAGCTTTCTTTGGGTGGGGGGCTGTTTCCCGGGACATGTAAGGACCCCCGCATGTGAACATGTCGGGGTGTCACCAATTCTGCTACCCAACCTCATGACAGAAAAGCTTAGCATTTGGCCTCAGCACTTGGAGGATCTTTTTACAAAGGGGCCACGCTGTTCAGCCCATGATTTTGGCCATTCCGAGGCGGGCCAGCAGACAACAAGGTTGTCCAAAGCTGACCAAACAAAAGGAATGTGCTGGTGCCTTTATTTAGGTTTGGTGTTGTTTGGTTGTGCACTTGCCAAGTGTTGTGCCCCTGGTCTTACGGAAGTTAGGGGACGACAACAGCCCAGTTTCAACCCTCCTCACAGGACTATGCAGTTTTCCTTTGCAGGCTGTGGCTGTGGCCTGGCTCAAGCCATTTACAAATATTGCAGCGAGTGAGATGGCCACAAGCCGAGGAACATTCAGGAGGCTTTCGAGATGGCCTCCTCCTACACGGGTGGAGCGGTGAAGATCGCCATTCTGCCCGAGAACGAGGCACATAGCTTTAGGAGCGTGGGGCTCATCGGCGGGACCCCGCACAGCGTCGAATACCTGCGGCACCTCAAATCGGAGGGGCTGGAGGTGAAGTTTGTTGCAATTGCCGGTGGCAACTGGCCGCAAGAGGCTAAAATCAGGGAGGAGTTGCAGGAGCTGTGCCGTTTGCACGGCATCCCCTGCTTCGACGTGAAGGATGTGCCGGCCAATGTGCAGGAGAGCGATTGCCCAACAGAAGGGTACGTCCTGGGCCCTGGGTTTTTGCACCCAAGCGCTTTGTCATGATTTCATGTGACTTGCCTGCTTGGAAACCCCAAACCTAAAAGAACCTCGAAAAAAAGCAACAAGAAAAACAAAGTTCTAGGAGAGATGCTTGGTTCTACTCACTTAAAAACCTCAAAAACACTTTTAGAAATCGAACAATAAAAGTTATAGGAGAGATGACAGGGTATACCAGTAATGTCCTCTGCAAAAATGTGCTGTTTGCTTTTTAGATTTCTCGTTGTTTTTTCTTTTTCTTTTTTTTTTGTTTAATTTTTAAATATTCCGGTTTGCTATACATCCCTGACTGCTGGCACAAAAACACAAAGTTCCAGGAGAGATGACAGGGTATACCAGTAATGTCGTCTGCATTTTGTTGTTTTAAACAATAAACTTATCGAGTTTTTGTTGTTCGGTTTTCTGTACATCATAATCCTCATGCACATATAATGATAGCTACTAGATCTAGAAAAGGTCTAGAGTTGAGCAATAACATTTGTTGGTCTAACTGCCTTATCTGTAGAAATAAGCACAAGTGATTCAACACTAGCTTTAATAGCCAAATCAATAGTATTTTTAGCATATTTGCCTCAACTGAATGCACATGTTTGTAAGCTGCTGCATGAAACACTACATCTGGAAAGTAATCACTAAACGCATTTTATAATGATTCTATTTCACAACGCAACATAAACTACTTTTTATACTATAAAGAGAACATTCTTCAGATATGTGTTTATACATCAACATCCACTATGATCGAGCAACATTTTCTGCTTAGCTTCATACTTAATTCATTCCCTAACAATTTCAGAGCCAAAACCCCCCCTGCCCCTGTAATAAGGACTCTTTTCTCCTTATTAAATTATGAAATAGATTGGTTGTAAAGAGTTTTCGAGTCTCTAGAAAGTAAATCACAACGTGAAGCAGGCTTTAGCTGTGACATACAACTCTCATCTTGAAGAACATCGTCTAGAGGTGGCATTATCTTTATTCGTTTAAAGTCTTTCTCTAAATCTTTTGTACAGTTTTCTATGGTCAAATTTTGAAGATATTTGTTGTAATTCCATTTTTGAGACAACTTTTTTACCATCTATGCTTCTATTTTTGGATATACCTTTTTGCATCAAGTTCCTGAGCCATCTTTGTCCCAGCAAGATCTGCACCATGATGATTTTTCATGATAAACTGTAGTAAGTGAGAAGTTTTTTTTCAACGCTAGGATATAGGTCTTGACCAACGACATTTTGAAAATCATTTTTGAAAGTACTGTCTAAAGCACTTTGTGTTTTCTTTCTTGAGCAGCAGCATAGTTGCTTCTTTCCTATCATTTCGGTTTCATTTAAGTTTCTCAATATCTTGATACCAACTTTCTATAAATATATCAATGTCACTTAAGGTATTAGTATTTGGAAATCTTTGTTGATCATATCTTTGCAAAGACATCCACTATGGTTAATTTCTTTTGGGCGGTATTGTTCCATTGAGATATAACTTCAATCAACAGTTTAGGGCCAGTTTCAACTTTTGATTGATTAATGGTACCACATAGTGTTACATGTTGCTTTACTGTTTGTGTTGCCCATTTTCTGAACTTTGTACCTAACATATAATTTATCCTATACTCTACAGATATGATCACATCAAGGTTATACTCTTCAACATGTTTGGAGTTGTTGAGGTGCAGATTGGTGTTGAGTCAGTTGGTTTGCCTTGAAGTAACCTCTTTTTTTTTGCACGTCTGCAGCAAACCATTCCACATGGAAAACACTAGGGCCCACAGCGTGCCCGTCTCTTGCCGAATACCAATTTAATTGAGCGGGGTCCATGTGGGCCATGAGCTGCCCTGCAAGACGAGGTTGCTCGTTTCAACAGAGTGCAGGGCACATGTGGGGAGCAATCAGTAGGGACTCCTCCGCATTGCTGTTGTATGTTGTGTTTTCATTTGTTTGCAACATTAATTTCAGTCAAAGGCGGGTTGGGGGTGCTGGGGCAAGGACATGCAGCCAGACTTGCTGATCGATGCCGGGTTCAGTGTGGACGGCCCCACAGCAGCTTTGCCGCACACAGTGGGGGATCCGCGGATGGCCCGGTTCAAATTTGCGGGTGCCTTGGGATCTGCCTTACAGGCAATCACGCAAAGCATGTCCGAGTGCTGGTTGGTACTTGTGTGGTTCTGGGCGTGTGAACAATGAGCATGCAACCCTGCCTGAGCCTGGGGGCAGGCAAGCTCGGAGACGGCTCCTGTAGAGGCAGCCCCCATTGCTGCATTTTTCTGCGGGGCAATCGATTAACGTAACAGACCGTCACCTCCCAAGATGCGGCCCATTGCGAGGCTTCCTGCTTGCCGGCAGCACTGCGCTGCACCACGGTGCTGGGACTCGGCCGGCCCTTGGGCTGGGCGCTGCTCGCGGGGGAGGCCCCCGGTTGCGCCAGCCGGGGCCCTGGCGCGTTGAACGTGGGCAGTCAGGGCGAGGGGCCACGCTGGCTGGTTGCTTTTGTGGCTGTCCTTTTTACAATGAAGAAACAAGAAGAAACAAAAAAACTGAAGGGACCTTTCGTTGTCGGTTGGCCATTGTTTGAAGAGCATTAAGTTTTGCAGCGTGCAGCCGAGGCTTCATTGGAGAGGACGGCCGCATGACTTGGAACTCCACGCATGGCACATACAAACGAATGCTGCCATAGTGCCGTGCGCGATACCGTCCGACGGTGCCGCTAGGACCGTGTTGTTGACATCTTCACGGAGGAAATCGGTTTCCCATGCGGGGCGCGGAAGGCCTTTGACTTGCGCCTTGGCAGCGCGAAGCTGTGCAACGACTCGTCGTGCGATTTTGTTACGGCGCTTGGTGCCTCATCTTCGGCTTGTTTCTGGCTGAGATTCGTGGCTTTGCGCACTGCAAGCTCAATCAGGCTCTCGCGAAGGGCGGCGCAGAGGTTCCCCCAGTGGCTGCGGGCTCTGCGCAGTGGGGACTATGCCCCGCGCCTGGATTGTTTCTTTGTGCCGCGCATGCTGCTGGCTGAAGGCACAGGCGATGTAACTGTGTAACCAGGCCGAGTCTTTAAAGCCGCCCTGAGGCATCAATTTGCATTCAATCGGTTGAAGTGCCCTGAGGACATGTCCATGCTGAAGGCCTGGCGCTCGGCCACGGCGGGTGCTGGCCAGACGAAGCTGAGCCGCAGTGGTTCCTGGGCTGCCAAGTTCCCTTCTGAAGGGAAGCGCGTGCATCTCTTTGTTTTGGGAGGGGTGGCGATTAGATCAAAACATTGTGACTCCCCAAAAATTGCAAGGCCATGTCCAACTATATGGACCATATGGGGGGACAACCCGACCCAAGCACACTCCTTTGCACGACGACTGTACCGCGCATCCGCAGAAAGCGACGGTGAACGTTCGCAGCGGCCGAGGTGCGGCTCCGAACAACGGATGGGTCTCCTGGCGCTGGCGGGGTGGGAGGCTCAGCTTGGGCCCTCGTGGCCGCATTATTCGCGGCAGCTGTCAGGTGGCAGGCCTTGTTGCTGTTTTTAGCTGATCCAGGTGTCAGTTACAAAAGGGGAACCAAACTGTTCACACCTTTTTGCAGTTGTTCAATGACTTCAGGAGCCATGTTCTTGATAGCCTCGGCCGCGTGGCCAGTGCGGAGGCGGCTTCATCCACCGCTTCGCCCTGTCCCTAGAGCTCGACCCGCGCGGCGCACGGGCCAGCCGCGCGGACGGCAGTGCCCGGGCGCCCAAAGCAAGGGACCACAGGTGATCCAATAGAACCAACATTTTGGCATTGGCGCACCAGAAAAACCACATGGCCGTTCAGGCGCCAAAAGGCTTGCCAAGCCTAAAGAACAGCAGCCAATCTCCTGAAGGGTTTTCAGGGTTTCCGCGTGTGTGGCTGCCTAATTTGTAAGATATGTGGGCACCTTGATAGGGACTAAAAGGACAGGATAGGCAACGATAGCCTCGAGCTCTGTTGTTTTTTGGAGCCAGCCGGCGGCAAATAAATGGACACCAGGGCTGTGATGATCCTCCATGCGCCATTCTTAGCCCAACCTTTGTGTGCGTGAGCTTTGGTTTAGTGCCTTGCATTGAAGAAGGCACATTTTCATGTTCCAACCTGCTTTTCTTTTTTTTTGGCCGGGCTTGCGTACTTTCTGTTGGTTTTCGCTTCGAGACTAAACTCATATGGCCACACGCATCCACACCACCAATTTCAAGCCACCACACAGAGAGGACGCGGCGCCAAATGCTGGCTTTGGAGAAATGTTTTTCACGCCCAATTGTTGTAGCACAGAATCGACCAGATCTGCCCTTTTTGGGTTTCGCATGGTCTGCGCAAATTTACACAAGCTCACGGGCTCCAAATGGCGGGCGTGGCACTGTTTGCGGATCTTTTGCAATTTGACAATCGAAAACCCGGGGGTTCGGGCGCGTTGGCAGCTTTGCCCCCCAGGAGGTCACATGCAGCGTAGAGCACGCCAGGGCCTCGGGGTCGCGTGCGGCAACCACCAAATTGAATCGGACCCGTTTTTCAGCGAACTTCACTTTTGCTGCAGCCAAGGTGAGCAGCATGGCGCCCCAGCTGCACTGTGGGACGGGCGCGGGTGTTTGCAGACTTCCAACACTTCATCGTGCCTTTTGATTGCTGACGTGGTCAAAGACCCCTGTGTCACAAGGCGCTTTTCCGTACGGGGCCTTCCATCAATCAACGGCTAGCCCTCCCCCCAGCCCAGGAGGAGCTCCTCGCCAGCCCGGAGCGGCTGAAGGTCTTTGCAGGGGCGCGACCCGGCGAGGCCGGGTGCCCTTTTCCCGGGGTGTTGTGGCAGCATGGAGAGAAGAGGGACGACGCTTGACAGCCTTGAAGAAGCGCAAAGGGAAGCAAAGGCCCGCGATGTGGAAATTGCGGCCAAGGTGAACGCTCAGAACTTCAGGTATAGTATTGGCACCACACGGCGGGTCCCCGCAGTCTCCAGCTTTTTCACACATTCATGAAACAACTTCAGCTTTTTCAATGTTGCACGTTGTTCATCATTTGTTCGAATTCCAGTGGCCTTGGTCCTTGTGGTTTGCATCGTGTTGGCTTCGGGGCCAGGTTGTTGAGGCCAAAGCGCAGCGAGCCTGGATTCGAGGCGGAGCACCGTAGTGTACCAGCAGACATGACATCACCCCCTAACTTCTGACATCACTAACTTCCGAAGATCCGGAGGGGGTGGGGGGTGGGGGGACATAGGTGTATTTGACTTGTTGCTTTGCATTTTTAATAGATGAGGTGGGCGTTGTGACCATTGGTCACGGGGTTATTCTGCAACGGCTTGAGGGTGGTCTGAGCTTGCTAGTGGGGGTACAATGTTGAAGTATTTCCGGGTACCCCGGTTGAAGCATGATAATCTCTCGCTGTTCTCTCTCTCTCTCTGTCTCTCTCTCTCTAGACACACGTTTCATACATATATCTAGAATATACGTATATGTATATACATTTGTATTCGATACACACATGTATATATATATATATATACAATACATAGATAATGTTTCTTCATGAATTTATACTTACCACCACCCTTTATTAGGGTGTGTGATTTTGCAAACAGGTTGGCTCGTGCTCAGGTCTCAGGGAAAGTTCTCTATGGCTTCCAGCAAGTGCCATGCGGCGCCCTTTTCCCTCTTGGCCAACGCTCAAAATGAGGTCCCCTTCAGTCAAGTGGCAGGCTCCGAAATACCAATTCAGAGCCATGCTGAAGAGACCAGTTGAAGTTGTGCAGCAAGCTAAGTTGGCATTCATGGGAGATCGCGGACAAGACTTGGAATTTGCTTTGCGACCATGAATAACGAGGCTTGCCCACCAAAGTGACAGGTGCGGATGCCCTGCTGCACTGCCATGTTTCCGCGGCATTGAGCGAAGGAGCGTGTGGCACGCGTGCGCGCAAGCGGCGCAGAGCTGTGGGTTTCAAGAAGCTGGAAGCAATGCCGGAGAGAGGAGAGAGGCACTTTGGCAGGAGAAGTCCTTGCGTCGAGAACTGACGGGGCGCACGGCATCGCGCTGGATTTCCAGGGCGCGCCTCGTCTTCAGCTCTTTCTTTTTACAGATGGGGAGGGCAGGCACCCGAGAACCACGCAGCAGCACCTCACTGACCGTGGCCCATGTCTCTCAGGACACCTGGCAGCCCGCGGCTGGTCCAGACACGGGGGAGAGCGCGTGCCCGCGCGTCGAGCGGGGCCCCCGGGCATGTGCGCAGTTCTGCTCAGATGCATTCAGATATATCGAGATCAATCGCCTGCCCGATGGTTGCCTTTGCCTCCTGCGACCTCAAAAGTCAAAGGTCTTGGATTTTGGCATTCGAAAGGAAGAGGAAGCAGAAGAAGAAGCTGCTAAGTTGGCAGCCTGCTTGTGCTTTGTTCCTACTCAGGCAGGCAGCACCAGAGCCAAAGCAGCACAAGGTGTCAGTGCCTGAGGGGAGGGCCTGTGTTGCAGTGAGATGTTTGCTGACAGCCGAAAGCAGTGCAATAGCAGTGCAGTGAGGCCCATGTTCCAATTGGACTTTGAGCCTGCTTTTGTGGATTCCTTCGCTGCGGGCGCCCGGGAAATCCTATGCAGCGGCCGCCCGCTCAGCGAGAGCGTATATGCCAGGACACCTGCATGGGTTACATAGTGCTTAGGTGGCACAAAGAGTTTGCTTTTGGCGTGCACATTGCAAAGTTGCTTCTTGTTCAAGCAAGGAGTTGCATGAGAGCGTGAGGGCGCCCAGTCATCCGCAGGAAGTTTGAGCAGGCCTTTGCTCAGCTGGTGCATGCCCCCTTCGCCTTGGCCACGACGCGCCTGAGTTCAGTTGGACGTGTTGCCTGTTTTTGACGTCTTCGAGTTCTTTCAGCTTTTTGATGACCAAGCAGCTGACAACCCATATTACAGGGGTGCCAAAGTTTGATGATTCATATGTTGTCTGAGGTCGGGCACGGTGGCACTGGATATCGCCATGCGCGGCCTGGGAGTTTCGGGCAAGGCAGCCATCGTAAAGTGACAGTTGCTCATATCAGCTGCAGTTTTGCTTGCTTCCACGGGTTCGCAGGTGGTGGCCATTCCCAGCAACACCTTTTTTGCCACCCAAGTGGCTGCGCTCAATGCGGGCGCGATCCTGGCCGCTGGGGCGCACCCTTCAGACCTGCTTATCACGCGAAGCTAGCCGGGTCGCGTGCTTGGGTGCTTATGGAAGCTGCGTATAGACCAGGAGTGGGTGGACATTGAGCCCGAGTACATGCAGGCCTGGTGGCGGTGCGGGCTTGTCCAGTCGGTACTGCCCGAGGTGTGTCCCAAGAGCTTGCAGGGTCTCTTTGACCGGCGCCGGGGGTCAGTGGCAGCCGTAGTGCTCGTGTGGCTTGGCGGCATCCTAGCCCTGCATGCCCTGCCCTACACTACACATCCTTGCCAGGCACATAGCTGGAATCATTTCCCCTCACTTTGGCGCGATCAGAGACCTGTGCCGTCAACATGGGGCAGCTTTGGTGGAGGACGTCTGCGAGTCGGTGGTCAGATTCAGGATTGTGAAATATTGTTGATGAATATCTGACGGGAATAACAACAATGAATGCCCTGTTTGGGAATCTTTACGGCTATGCGGCCATGCTGCAGCCACAAAGGCTCACCCGCTCGAGGGTTGCTTGTGGCTTCTTTGTCGCAGGATGCCGCGCATGCGCATCTTGCGCACTGCAGCGAGGGCCATGCAGGCTATGGCAGGGCTTCCCTTGTGATGGGTGGGCAATCCATTGGGGGCTTGTCAAAAACATGGCCTTGTTGTGGACCCTGGTGCCGCCTTTGTGCCGCCGTTTAAGAGTGATGCCAGAAAGTGTCTAATTTACACCCCCCCGATTGGCTGCCTTTGCTGGGACCAATTGGCCACCCATGAGCCTTGGCAGTAGCTCACTGGCCAGCAAGAGAGGCTGTTCCCTTTTTCTCTCGTCGCAAGCCGGGGAAGGAAAGAAAGGGACACAATCTTTTCGCGACAGACGAGTAGAGTTGGAGTAGCGTGGCTTGCCCTGAGTTGCGCAGGTTCCCTGGGAGATGTTGCCGCTTTTTCCTTCTTCCCGACGAAGGCGCCGGCACTGCATGCCACTGTTGGGATAATGATTCGAATCATTGTGGCCCGCAGGCGCTGTTTTTGTGTGTAGATCTTTCAAGCAAATATAGAACCTGTTTGAGACCAAGTGCCCCGTTCGCGAGGTGATGACGGCTGGGGAAGCCGGCATGATCACCACGCGTAGTGAAGCGCTTCTCAAGAAGATGCAGAGCGTCAAGGAATTTGGAAAGGAGATGGGGTTGAAGAGAGCCACCGCCTCGCACTGGCATTCAAGAGTGCTTTGTTTGGTCTGTCGGGGTGCGCTCAAGCAGTTGGCAATTTCCGCAAATTGGCAGCCTACCTGCTCGTGAGTGTGCACGTAAACATTTGCAGGGGTACAGGTACTCTAAATCTCAGTTCTTAGGACACCCAGTTTAGGTTTTGCCTTTGTCTCCATAGGACGTCACGGGGCCCAAGTCCCGGCTGGTGCAGCTGCGGGCGGACGCCACCAACGGCCGTATCCCTGAGCTCGGGTGCCTAGGGGAGAGGCGGAATGTGGCACGCGCAGGGGGTCGCAGTTCGCAATTGCAAGGCCGTCTTTTTTGGTGGTTTCGTATCATCTAAGGGGCGATGCATATGCAGCCTTCGGCATCCGATGCGATTTGGTCCGGGTTTGTAGGAAACGATGGCGGTGACACTCGAACAAGCATGCTGAGAAGATAGGGCTTGATCAGGGCATTTCAGTGCTCTGCTTGCGGATGCACAGCATGTTCCAGATCCTGTGGTGAGTATGCCGAGGTTCACAGGCTTGCTGGGCTACCTCGAATGTGGCCGTGTGAAGGAGAGGGTTGATCGCTCGGGGCTGAGCTGGAGGCTATTTCTAGGTTTGGGTGCGGCACCGGGTAGTCAATTCCTCCACTGTGTTCATGCTGGAGAGTGAGAGCATGGTTGCCCTCATTCGACCCGATCGGCAAAAGGGTTGGCTCTCGAGAAAGCGAAGCCACAAGAACCGACACATGGTAGAGGGAGCAGGTGTTGGAGTAAAGGTTTGCCAAGGCGATGGGGAAGTCATACCACGTGTTGACGCGTTGAAATCCCCGAAAGCATGGGCCATACTCTGGCCTTTCCCTGGCTTGGGGTTGGCAGGTCGAAACTTGCTGCTCGCCCGCTTTGTGCAGAAGCTGGACAGGCAGCGGCTTGGCCTGGCCGTTTCATAAAACAAATCCCACTTGTGAAATTATGATTTTGTTTTTTGGAAGTTGGCTCCTGTATTGCACACATACCGTATGAAGGCTCCTTCCCTCGCTTGACTCAAGAAGGTTCAAATTGGCGTTCGGCCCGCCTACCGACTTTGGGCATTCAATTTCTTGGGTTGACCCCGGAGAGCGACATTGAAGTGCCTGAGGTTCTTCCATGTGATCCAGCAACCAGAGGGCACGGGCCTTGTTCCAGTCGTTGAGGGCTTATGTGTTGGGGCTAGCTTAGCGCCGACTGAGTGAGCTTGGGTGGTACTGCGAAGGCACGGGCAGGGTGTGAAGTTGCTGGTGCAGTCTGGGAACATGTTGGAAAGATCTAGCCCTGGGCCTGCTTCCTGGGCTCAAGCTGGAACTCAGAAGGAAGGAAGGAAGGCTGTTCAGACATGCACAGACTTTTGAAGCATGCACTGTGTTCAGCTCTCAAGCTCAAAAATATATACGGTATGGACAAGCGCAAGAGAGCATGCGGTTCTCGTTCAGACCAGACTGGATTGGATAGTGTCATGCGACGCTGCCATGTTGGCAGTTGTGTTGGCGCTCGTCGTAGGGGCGACGCTCTCAGTTAATTTCAACCTGCAGATGCATGCGTTCCCACCATGTGCAGCCAACTGCTGCTGTTTTCAGCTGTGGTGTTTCGAGTCGGGCTGCCCTGCAAGAGGTTGCAGCACGCAACCCTTACACCGTGCTAAGCCTGAAGCCGGGTGCAAGCCAAAAGGACAGGCTCGGCCAAATCGCGCAAGAGGGCTTAAGGATGGTTGTCGGGTCAGTTGTTGCTTGGGCAAGTGCCTGGCCTAGACCCGACCCTGGCAAAGGATGTGAAGCGGGCATATTTGCAGGCTGCGCTGCTACCTGGCTGCAGATGGTCGTGCGATAGATTCTGCTTTGTCGGAAAGCCGGGGGCTGATAAGTATGATCCACCACCTCCAGAGAGGAAATTACTATGAAGAGACGATGTTGATCCTTAGAACTTAGAACTATATTATATGATTTGAGTTCTCTCACACATCAGATTAATTGTCTCCATGAAACCCTGGACAAAGCTCTGTGCGGCACCGGGGGGTCCTTGGCTCGTCGCTCAGCTCAAAAACAGGGACGCCGCGAGACTCGCTTTAAGCCACACGGAGCCATCGCTTTCACCACATCCGGGCTCACTTAGCCGGCTCAGCGCTTTAAGCTTGAAGCAACAGCCGAAGCGACAAAGCGACGCAGCTTGCCCAAGCGCCGTCAGCACCTTGAAACCGCCGTGCGGTTTGTGCCCGCCATGGGCCGGAACCGGCAGCCCCGGGAGCCGGCCTTGGGCCCGGAGGCGGGTCAAGGCTTTCACCCAGTTGCATCCTATTTTTTTTGGTTGAGGCATTCTTCTGTGGGTTTCCACATTAGGGTGGTCCAAAGCGCCTGGGGCCGTGCGCGGGAAGGTGGGTTGGATGCTTTTGCGCATGTGCTTCTCCGGGCTGAGGCCATTGGGGAACGTGGTTTCTTCTTTTTTTCATTTTTTTTTTAAATGGGGGGGCAGCTCATCAGTGGTTTGCAGGGCACTTGTAGAACATATATGAACATTTTCATGGGTTTGTAGTCTCCCCTCAGGTCCTTTTACGAGCTCCCCTTTCAACTTTCAACCGGCCGGTTTTCTGCCCGGAGGATCGGAAGGGCAGCAAGGAGCCCCGGCACGGGCCCGGCAAGAAGCCCCGTCGCGCAGTGACGGACCTGGAGGAGGACCTGCCCATTGCCATCCGATTTTTCTTTGGGTTCTGGTTCTTTTGGTCTTCTTGGAGTCAATCAAAGATGGAATCTCGTTTTTTTTTTTTTCCCCTTCCCTCCCCGCAAGCAAGAGGATGAGGAGGCCGAGGTGCTGGGGGAGGAGGCGGAGGAGGGCTTGGAGGGGCTGCTCGGTCCTGAAACTGATGCTTCCTTTGGCGAAAGCTCCCAACAAGGGGTTACCCAAAAATGGATCCCCGGTCTGCACTAGAGTCACTAGGCTTAGCGAGGCGGCCACCAATGACTATGCCATCGAAATACTTGGCCAATTTGTCCTAAGCCCCCGGTGCAGTTTCCTGAGGCTGGGGGTGCCCCTGGACTCTGTGGTGAAGGTCTGGTGCGTGCACAGCACGCCCAACTTCTCTCTGCCCTGGCAGCGACGACGGCAATACCGCTCATCCGGCCGCCCGGCAGGACAAAGGAAGACGACTTCTGGGCTCTCACAGGCGAGCGGTAAACAGTGAAAGCCGTCTCGCGTTTTGCTACAGTCGCCCTCGTGTCCTGATCCGGGGGATTGTGTCAGAATTGGAGGTGGGCGTTGGCATGCTTTTCCAACTAATCTGACCAACACTTGCCCATGGCAGTGGAATGGAGTCTCTACAGTATATGAATGTGCGTACATGGGGTGTGTGTGGAGGGAGGGAGGGGAAGGGAAAGGGAAAGGGAAGGGAAGGGAAGGGAAGGGAAGGGAAGGAGGGAAGGAGGGAAGGAGGGAAGGAGGGAAGGAGGGAAGGAGGGAAGGAGGGAAGGAGGGAAGGAGGGAAGGAGGGAAGGAGGGAAGGAGGGAAGGAGGGAAGGAGGGAAGGAGGGAAGGAGGGAAGGAGGGAAGGAGGGAAGGAAGGAAGGAAGGAAGGAAGGAAGGAAGGAAGGAAGGAAGGAAGGAAAACGAAAGACATAATGAAGGAAGCTACAAGGAAGATATACGGAAGGAAATCAATAAATAGATAAAGAAAGAAAGAAAGAAAGAAAATAGAGAAAGAAAGACAACTCAGTTGGCAGGCCGTTGGGCCCAACCACATGCTTTCATTCTGCAGGTCGTTGGTACTCTGAATTTGTTACTTTCATCCTCATGTACACTCTCTCTCACTCTCTCTCTCTCTCTCTGTCTCTCCATCTCTATCTCTCTCTCTCTCTCTCTCGCTCTCTCTCCCTCTCTCGCTCTTTATCGTTGCCATTTAACCTTTATTGCCATTCTTCTTACCTTTTCCCAATGCATCTCTCCGTGTTCAATGTTATTCTAAGAAGAACCCCATCCTGTCCAGATTCGTTCCATTCCTGGAATTGTCTATTCTTTTCATCACTATTACTTTCTTCTCAAATTATTTGTTTGCTATTTTCCCGCCCCTTAGCCTCCAGCCAAGGCTCGGGCTTCGTCATCGATGCGAAGCGGCGGGTCATCTTGACCAACGCCCACTGCATCGAGTGGCACACGCAGGCTGTGTATGGAACCGCGAAAGACGCGACCAGCAAACGGGGCCACGTTTAGCATTCCAAGCCTCAACCAAAGAGCTCGAGTCATTTGAATCCGTGTGACATCGTGTGACTAGACCTCGCCTAAATCCTGTTCCTGGCCAGCAAGCGGCTTCCCCACGCCTCTCCAATTTTCACCCAACGTTCCTTTCACGCCATCTGAAGTCCCTGGGTGTTGGCAGGCCACTCCTGGAGCATCATTCGAAAGAACTATGGCGTACTCTTGATTTCCCAAAGCGAGCCTGCAAGGCACCATTCAGCGTGGTTGACTTGAGGCACACGACCCCATACTTGCAACATGTGGAGGGTGCCTGGCACGTAACTACTGACTAAAAGCCGTGGCCTCTCAGGCCGCAGCCCTGCAAGCCAGGCACCACCCAAGAAAGACATTCATTTGTGAGAGATGTTCAGGGTGTCTTCTTGCTCAGGGGCCGCTTTTCACGGAAGTACGGCTTCAAGCCGCCTTTTTCCAAGGGTCGGCCTTGGCCCTTTCAGGGCTCTGGGAGCGTGGGCTTTCGCCAGGTGAAGGTGCAGCGGCGCGGCAGCGACACCAAGCACCTGGCGAAGGTGGTGTCAGTGGGCTGGGAGGCAGACTGCGCGGTGCTCACGGTGGAGGAGGAGGAGTTCTGGCAGGACATCAAGGCAACGCGCCAATTGGCCCCAGGATCTGAAGGTATGTGCGCTCTTTAAAGGCGCCGATGCGCACATGCGCTTTGAAGGTGCAAGTGGTGTCATTCTGGTTTTCATTCTTGATACGGTCTTTGGATGCTTCCGCCCAGGGATAATGACCGAATGGAACCATTCTTTTGGAGGATCTCTTGTTTCAGATGGGTGTACTAGATTCTGCATGCTCCACGGGTTGCAGTTGCGTGGCCCTCTGATGCTGAGCTGGTTGGAGGATGAGCGAGCAAGCTGCAACATGCTGAGAGTATGTTTGCACCATATGATCCTTCTTGTTCAGGTTTTTGCGAGCATGTCCGAGCAAGCTGGTCAAGCTTGCAGCTTTTGGTCCGTCCGTGGTCACCTCAAGCCAGGTCGGGAAAGTGCTCTGAGCCCCAACCCAGCCACGCCATTTCTCAGCACATCTTCGATTTTGGATAGTTGCAGCGTTTCCCCACACTTTTTGTGCTTGGTCATCCTTTGCAAAGGCCTCTGACATGCCGATCCCTTTGTTTTGAGTGCGAAATTGGTGTCCCTTTGCAGCCAGGTGGTGCAGCTCAGCAAGAAGGTGCCGCACCTTGAGGAGAGCGTGCTGTGCGTGGGCTTCCCCGTGGGGGGCGACACCATCAGCGTCACCAGCGGCGTGGTCAGCCGCGTTGAGGCCGTCGCACGTTTTCTGGATCATGCGCATGATTGCCCCCCCCCACCCCCCCCCCCCCCAAAAAAAAAAACACGGGAAAAAAAGCACGCGAGCGTGCGAACTGCAACGCAACAAACGAGTTGTTATGCCAGATGTGAATGTTCCTTGAGATTTGCATTTTGTTGTTGAATTCGGGAGTGGGAGCATCGCGTTGAGCCTATTTTGAGCCCAGGTCCCAGGACACCACCCGAAATACCAGCATGACTCGAGGTCAAGCGCTCCCCTCCCAACCCCCTCCTCCCCCTCCTCCTTCCAACCCCAACAAGAGTTCCGCATCCCGGCGCTAGCAGGTCATGACATATGCGGCGGCCTGCTCAGAGCTGCTGGGCATCCAGATCCTCAGTGCAAGTGGTGCCAGTTGTGTTTTCCTTTGGGTCGCGTCGGGGGTCGGTTTCCCATGCAAGCCAACTTGCCAAACAAGCATGAAAATGGAAAGCAGCCATTTTCATTTGATTCTAGTTTCCCCTTAGACTTGTTTTGGGTTGCACCCGCTGGGCTTCAGTTGGGTCCAGGATCGACGCGGCCATCAACTCGGGGAACTCCGGGGGCCCGGCCTTCGACGGGCGCGGGGAGTGCTTGGGCATGGCGTTCCA